GCTGCCGCAGCCGCAGCCGTTGACGCAGCCACAGCCGTTCGTGGACTCTAGGGGTGCTGGAGTTGGAGAGGGTGCTAGTCCTGGGGCTCCTGTCGTGACTTGTCCCGGCGGGCTCGGGGGTGGCACTGGCACTGGAGACATTTCTCATTCAGGGGGTGCTGGGGTGGAGTGTACCGGAGGTAGCAGTGGTGCAGCTGGTGGTCGAGGTGTCGGCGTTGAGCAGCAGCAGCAGCAGCAGCCGCCGCCGGTGTCCGCCCTTCGCCTGCTCGGCCTTCCCTCCCCTAACCACTCGCCTGCGCCTCCCTCGCCGTCTCCCCCTCTTCCTGTTCACGGTCCTGTGTTACCTCCGCTGGACTCGTCCCCGGCTCGTTTCCCCTCTCGTTCCCCTCCTGTTACTCCTCCTGTCTCCTGACCCGACTCCTCATCTCACGTCTGGTCTCGTCGTCCCTCTCGTGCTCGTCCTGTCTCTCCTGTTCAGCATTCTCACCTTATATTTCTTCTTTCCCGCGCATCTCGTCCTCCCCGTTTGCCTTCGCCTCCTCCGTCATCGCTCACTATCGTGCCTCCCCCTCTGTCTGACTACCTTCGTGTTGCTCATCCTCTTGTTTCTCCGGTCCTTGCCTCCCTCGTTACCGACCCGTCTGTTCATGTCTCTAGTCTTGACGCACTTGTAGCTGCTGTCGCTGAATTTGCCTCTACTCTCTGCCTTGAATTCGCTACCGCTCTGGTCTCTAACCATGTCTGTCCTCCGTCCGTCGGGGGTGCTCCTGCCCTCGGCAGTGACGTCTTGGAGGACCGGCAATACGAGCTTGCTTTCCTGACAGAGGCTGCTCCCCATCTCTGTTCCATGCTGCTAGTCCCTGACAGTGACCCAGCGCCTTTGACATCCCGACCCCCCGCACTTACGTTGAGGCCATCTCGAGACCCTGGGCCTCTCAATGGATAGCTACCATGGAGCAGGAGATGGCATCTTAGAGGGCTGCCTGCACCTACGTCAACGCAGTTCCCCCACCTGGGGTGAACATAGTCGATGGTCGGTGGCTCTTCAAGGTGAAGCGCTCCCCTGGAGAGCCGCCTGTGTTCAAGGCGCGCTACGTGGCTAGAGGCTTCAGTCAGCAAGAGGGGGTGGACTTCTTTCAGACCTTCGCCCCGACCCCGAAGATGACTGCTCTTTGGGCGCTGCTACATGTAGCAGCACAGCATGACTAGGAGCTGCACTCACTCGACTTCTCCACTGCTTTCCTTCAGGGTAGCCTACACGAGCAGGTCTACCTGCGCCGCCCTCAGGGCTTCACCGGTACTTTCTCTCCTGGGACCCAGTGGCTTCTCCTGCACCCTGTCTACGGCCTGCGACAGGCGCCCCTGAGTAGCACGACACACTGCGTGCCACACTAGCTGACCTGCAGTTCTTTCCGTCCTTTGCGGATCCTTCGTTCTTCGGTCGTGCTGGCCAGACTCCGTTCTACATCCTTGTCTATGTAGACGACCTGGTCTTTGCTACAGCAGACTGAGACGCGCTGGCCTCCGTGAAGGTTGAGCTGCTGAGGCGACCCACCTGCACTGACCTGGGAGAGCTGTGCTGCTACCTTGGCCTGCACATCTCCAGGGACAGAGCAGCGCACACCATCACTCTTGCACAGTCACACTTGGTGCGCTAGGTCCTTTAGAGGTTCGGTCTTCAGTTCTCCTCCGCACAGCCCACACCTCTGCCGGTAGACCACAGGCTCTCAGCTCCAGCTCCCGAGGAGTTAGCAGAGCCCAGTAGTCCTTACGCAGAGCTGGTGTATTGCATTATGTACCTGATGACTTGCACTCGCCCAGATCTCGCATACCCTCTCAGCATCCTGGCTCGCTTTGTGGCCACAGGCAGACACCAACCACAACACTGGTCGGCCGCGAAGAGGGTTTTGCGTTATCTTTCAAGTACATCGGGCATGGGACTAGTGCTGGGAGGACGCAGGCCCCTGGTCCTTACTAAGGCGCTTCAGCAGCGAGCTTCAGCAGCGTCTCCAGGCCCGCGTAGTACACTTGGCCTCCGGTGCCAACACAGCTGATATCTTTACTTAGGCGCTTCCGCCTAGAGATCATCATCGGCACTGCTTGCAATTAGGTCTAGTCCCTGTTGACTCTCACTTGCCAGGCCCTTGATTGTGTACTCATTTCTACAGTGACGGAAACAATTGTCCGGATGTTTTGCATTAATTAGGGTTTTTGGGCTTTCCGACCACTGTACATAAAGTCTTCATGTTTAATGGTGGTTCGCTTTGGGAGGGGCATATAGTGGATGTGTTCACAGCACTAAAATCCATGATAGTATACAGGATCTAACTTAGTGCCAAAAGTTATGCAAAGAGTACATCCGGACAATTGTTTCCCACGACAAAGAGCAAACTTCCGAGCAGCATTTCTAGTACCTAGTCAAGCGGCACTTGGCCTTGATCACCACCCGCACCCTCCTATGCATGTTATCTACGAGGTTAGTGCAAACCTTTACAGCGATCTTCTCGCACTCTTCCTGGACCCACGCTTTTGCATAAGGGGGTGAGCACTAGGAAAATCGCCAAGGATTTGAGCGTATGCAAGAGTATTGTGCACGATTTCGTATTGAATGTTATCTCTAAGACTAGCCACGCTGAGGTGTGGCCAAAGATGCCATAACTCGATTGGTCTCGTCTTATCATGGATGGTCTTCATCGTACCGTTGTAGGTAAAAATTACGAGCTGAGTGGCGAAAACTAGCGTATCTGCCACGAAACTTAGGGTAACATAGCACAGTCGACAGTGCATCCTTGCACTATTGGAATCGCGCTAGGATCCGTAGGTCTCGTTACGGTGCAGCTGTCGAAGAAGTCGCGACTGTTCAGAAAGAATATCCGGGTTGAGATATGGTGAGGAAAAGGGTCACTCCAGCGTACCATACTCATGTTCTCCAAGCCATTCTAAGCCATGTGTCCCGCCTAGGCTTGGAATGGCTTGGAGAGCATGAGTTTGCAGCACTGGAGTGACCCTCTTCCTCACCAGACCTCAACCCGGGTATTTTTCCCCACCAGTCGGGGCTTCTTCGACTACTGCACCGTGACGAGACCCGTAGATTTTAACGCGATTCTATTAGTGAATGGATGCACACTCGACCGTGCTATGTTACCCTAAGTTTCGCGGTGGACACGCTAGTTTTCGTCACTCTGCTCGTAATTTTACCCTACAATGGTACGACGAAGAAAATTCATGATAGGATAGAACTAATCGTCTTATGACATCTTTTGTCACACCTCGGCATGGCTATTCTTAGAGATAACATTCAACATGAAATCGCGCATAGTACTCTTGCATACGTTCAAATATTTCGCGATTTTCCTTGTGCTCACCCCCTTATGTTAAAGGGTGGGTCCAGGAAGAGTGCGAGAAGATCGCTGTAAAGGTTTGCACTCACCTCGTAGATAACATGCCTAGGAGGGTGCAGGTGGTTATCAATGCCAAGTGTTGGTGGACTAGGTACTAGAAACGCTGCTCGGAAGTGTGCTCTTCGTCTTGGGAAACAATTGTTCGGATGTACTCTTTGTATATATTTTGGCACTATGTTAGATCCAGTGTACTATTATGGAATTTAGCGCTGTGAATACATCCACGATGTGCCCCTCCCAAAGCGTAACACAATAAAATATGAAGAGTTTATGTACACTGGTCGGAAAACTCAAAAACCCTAATTAATGCAAAACATCCGGACAATTGTTTCCGTCACTGTATTTATACCTTGCAGACTGGCCTTGTGGCTTTTCTTCCAGTGGTTGGACTAGTTGTGCCGCCCTGGTTTGCTCTGTCTTGCTTGTACTCTTGCTGACTGGTCTTAGGGCCCGTGCCTCAGAGGAAGAGGGGACGCAGGGGAAGGGTGCCGGGACCCGGGAGTGTGCCGCCCTGTGTGGCGCACTGGCTGCATGCGGGCATGCTGGCCAGCGCTAAGACGGGGCGATGGACGCTGCCGTCCGTGCACTGGCAGCTTCTGTCCGTGTCGTCCGTGCGCTGGCGGCACGTCGCCACGGCAGCACGACGGCGCCGTCACGGCAGCACGAAATGGCCGTGGCGGCGGTGCGAAAAGGACAGGAGCGAGGAGCGGAATGTGCGGAAGCGTGATGAGCAGGCCCGAGCAGCCAGACGTGCTCTGATACCATGTCAAGGTAGCTAGCTAGGAAGAGGAGCCATGAAATTGCGTGAGGTTTAGGCTAGGAGAAAGATATCGAGAGAGAAGAGAGATTGAAAAGAAGAGAGAGGGATACAAGAAGAGGGGTTGTACCCTCTACAGTAGGATCCAGTAACACCTACCAAGCCTACCATTATATTTATCAAATATATAATTTGACACATCGCTCGGCACATGTCTCAAGTGGCCCAGTTGAAGTGAGCACGATGCCATAACAAGCAAAGCTAGCAAGCTTTCACAATATGGAAATTTTAGAAAGTGTAACACTTTCTAAAATTGTGCATTGTGAAAACGAATCGGCTCGTAGCGCAACAAAGGCACTCTTTGATACGCTACTGGCACTCTTCCGAGTACAAAACGTGGTTGGATGCTCATTTCCCTCCACCCACGTTCTCATTTTCAACGTTCAAGTCTGATTCCCACCCATCCCACCCTTGTTCCCTTGCCTTAGGCCCGATGTAGGCTTTTTGTTCATGCTTGGACCTGTGATGTTTTACTTAGTCAGTTGATATGAGCACGATGCCATTGCAAGCACAACTATCAAGCTTTCACAATAAGGCAAAACAGAAACGTATAGCTAAGTGTTTATACCCTATATAAAATGAACACTAGCAAGGCTATAGTTCATATCCTAACACAAATATGTATGAGCGTTAACAAGAGTCGGGAAGAGGTAGTCTTTCATATCCCTCTAGAGGCCGTTTTAGCCCATATTCAGAATGGTGGTCAGAATTATTGCATGGAGGTTGATGCATGAATTGTAACGTAGTGTTGTGATGCTCGCACATTTCTCATACCGTAATCTCCCGGCATGATTACCCCCCCGAAAAAGGGACTCTGGGTCTTTTTTCCGGACCATGGGTCTTAATATCGTAAAGGGATTGTGAGGACCCGCTGTTTGGGGTAAATCATTTGAGGACCCCCCCCCTTCAGTTTTAAATGGTTTTCATGGCAGTTTTTGCTCAATTTCAAAATGCGTCATGCACTACAAAGTCAACTTCCACATCATTAGTTAGGACGGTCCTACCGGTACCGGTACTATTGCTTCATGCCAATTGCATCCTACCTACACTACATACTGCCTTAGGGAGTCCTAGGCACTGCACATCCACGGCAGCACACCTCATGTTAGACCAACTCATCGAACCTACTGATACGGTACACGTCCATCGAACTGCTACTAGCTACCACTACTGAAGGGACTCAATGTCCCAGGCTCTGTTGACGTCCACCTCGCCATGGGAACTCCAAGACTCAGTTGTTGAGGCCTCTTCGTCTGCTGCTGCTGATGCCGCTTCTGCCGCTGCTTCTGCCGATGTTGCTGCCGCTGCTGCTGCTGCCTCCTCTGCCTCTTCCTCCTCCTCCTCAGCCATCTGCCCATCCCCCTCCTCCTCGCCTCCCTCCCCCTCGTCTTCCTGCTCGGCCTCCGCGTAGAGTGGATTGATCCACTCTTCCACAGCCCCGGCAACATGCACGTCATCGTGCACTTCGACTTGGGCAGCGTCGCGCATGTGAGCAAGGACCAGGTGGTCCTCGCTCCCGTCGGGGTTGTTGCTGATGCCGCACGTTTTGAACGCGCGGACAATGATGTCCTCGGGGACAAGGTCCCAGGAGTTCCAGATCCAGCGCAGGACCAACTCTGGCGGCGGCTTCCTCAGATTGCCTGCTCAAGTAAGCAATCAAGAGGAAGACAAAGAGGTGAGATTCTTGAATTGTGAGTTAAACAGGGCAGGCACTCACATACCAGCAAACATGAGAGAGGCTCACCAGCGGGCGTCAGCAGGTCAATGCCTTCTGTGGCGAACCAGTCGTTGTAGAACCGCCGGACGCCCGCCTTGAAGGCGCGGTTGATGACGACGTCAAGCGGCTGCAGCAGGGGTGTGCAGCCGCCAGGGATGATTGCGGGGGTGATCTTGTGCCACCTGAAGGAGCCAAGCACGCCGTCCGTCAGGTGCCCACGGTAGGAGTCCAGGACAAGCAGTGTCTTGCTCCTCGAGACACCTATGGGGAGGCGGATGAAGGGCAGCAACACGTGCTGCACCCAATCTTGCACGAGGCCTCCATCCATCCAGCCTCGCTCCTGGGCTCGGCTGAGGAGACCTGCACAGTAATGCACGCACACTGTTAGGAATAATAAGAGGGAAACAGCTAGGGAGACAAAATAGGCTGTCATGAAGCAAAACTCACCAGGTGGTGCTCGAATATTAAGGATCGTCTTCCTTTTGAAGATGACCATGGGAGGCAGTTTCCGGCCGTCCGCTGTCACCGCCAACATCACCGTCACCCTCTCCTTCTCATACCCGGCGCTCCGAATCTGTACAGTCCGATCCCCCCAATGGTGAAGTGTGTGCTCGAAAGGCATCTCCAGGAACACTGGAGTTTGATCTGCATTGATCATGTTCCATGGGTCGATGCCGCTCTCCAGCACCTGTTTCCGGACGAAGCGCCAAAAGCTTTCACTCTTTGGCTTGCAATCTACCAGTGGAAACAAAAAATACGCGGAAGAGTAAGGTAGGGGTGAATACGCCATGTTATTCCACGACCATACGGCATGCAGTGGGATTAAAAAACATTCTAGAACACTCGGCGCGAATGAGAGAGGTCGCCTTACCGCGGGTCAAACGCTGACCAATCTTGGTCTTGACTCGCACGGTGAGACCCCAGCGAACGCGAAACCTGAAGGTCCAATGAGGTGAGGCCCTCCAGTCCACCTCGGGATGATGAGTCTTCATGAACTGCCGGCTCCAAACCTGAAGGAGGGAAATCGGGACTGCAAGGCCACGGGAGCGGTGGCTCAGGAACTTTCTATAGACAGCCTGCTCCAAGTCGGGGTGCCTCGACGGTCGCCCTGCGCCCACAAGCCTACGCCTGGAGCCCGAGGCGTGCGTCATGTCCTCTTCCTTCTTCAGCCAGCGCCGAATGCTCACCGGCTCGACACCCGCTTCCCGCGCCACCCGTCGAATGGTCAGCCCCTCGTCGCGCATCTTGTGCAGCCAGCCGATTTTCTCGGCCATGGTGCGCGATGTGCGGCGGTGCTTTGTCCTCCTGGCACGAGACTCTGGTGCACATGCGTCAAGTGGACGCCGAGCCTCGGTGTCGTGACGCAGAATGTCTGGCGGGAATTGAGGGACGGGGAAGGAGGGACGAGGGGATTCGTCTGCGTTGGGCACACGCTCACGGGGGGTGAGGTCCTCGTCATTTGTTGGCTCCCAAAAGCCAGCAAACGTAGGCGATGGCGCAGGAGGAGCCGGAGGAGCAGGAGGCGCTGGCGGCGCGGGAGGCGCGGGGGGAGCAGGCGGCGCAGGTGGCGCTGGAGGTGCGGGCGGTGAAGGTGCTACTGAAAAGCTGGACGGTCTGCTGTGCGAACGGGTGTGCCTACATACGCAATTCTGCATAAGCATTTGCAGAGCCGACATGGCTGTTGCTTGGAAAAATCCCACACTTAGCGGAGAGAGAGGGGAGAGATGCCATCTCCTGGAACATCAAGCTTGCTAAAAACCCTGGTTGAAAAACAGGAAATGAGACTTGTCGCAGCGACTACCCCTCTGTGAAGACGGAAAAGAGAGGGACGTGAGGCGGAGCGAGACACGACGATGGAGGGAGTCATGCCTGCCTGACACAAGAAACCTCTCAATGGGGTGGACCGTGGGGAGACTTCGTGAACGAACCTCTCCCCTCCATGTAATGACTCTTGCTGGCAGTCAAAAAGCCCGCGCGATTCGCCAGCGCTGTAAAATTGGCAGCCGTCGATGCTAAGAATCCGACGCGTGTCCATCTAGATGGCTCGGACAAAACGAGGCTAAGAATATACTTCCCCCGTTTGAAACAAATGACCCCCTGTATAACCTCAATTGGAATACCAGAACATGTGACAAACAAACACCTTACGTAATAAATAACTGCACATGGGTCTTATTAATTACCATCCTTTAAAATGTCCACCCAAACGATTTTCAATGAATTTTCCATAAGACCTAGGGTCATCATGCCGAGAGATAACGATATTGGAAACCATTTGTAACTAGCAAATGGTTATGAATTTGGCGTATCTTCTCCATATTTTCCGCTGGCGGTTTTGATATCTGTACGACAGTCTCTTGTGGTGAATCATGGCTTGCTATTTTCGCAGTAGCGAGGATGAGTGATTCCGCCAAGTGCCTGGCACGCAATCCTAAACCTTGATTGTTGCCCCTTGGTACAGGTTCCCGTCCAAATGGCCCCAATCACACGAGAACGCTCAAACGAGGGGAAGATAACAATCCGACGTGGCCCTGCTCGCTCGCGACCATCCCTGTGCGCGCCACGCGTCTCCACGGCGGCACTATGCTCGTGGCTCTGGGCTTCTCTTCCCCCCGCCACATGCACATTCCTCTTTGCCCATACCCCTCTCAACCCCGCCTTCATCCCAGATGGTTTCTGCTCTCCCTCCCTCTCACACTCAGCCCAACACCCACGCCAGCTGCTCCTTCCACGCTCTCTCTCTCCCCTCCCTCCGTCCAGGCCCACTCCCTGATCACTCACCCACCCTCGACGATATCCGCATCCCCGTGCACAGGAGATCGCGTAGCAACGCCCTACCTTAGGCGCGTCCACTAAGTTTCCCGCCATGGAAGTAGCAGTGGGTCGGCTGATCGCGAGGCCTGTCTTCTTCTCAGGTGACGTCTTGGAGCTCCAAGCATCCTCGCGCCTCGACAGATGCGTCGCGCCCGACCCCTCCGCGCGGCCACCGCGGAGGCTCGCGCTGCAGTCGTCCGCCAATGCGCCCAGCACGGCTCGGCGTCGGGCGCGGCGCAGCGCGGGGCAGGCGGGCGAGGAGGGCCGGTTCGGCGGGGGCAGGGGCAGCAGGGGGCGGTGGGTGGCGCGCAGCAGCCTGGCGGAGCACCAGGGCACGGATGCCCCGGCCGCGCGCACGCAGGAGGCTGACGCGGCGGGCAGCAGCGGAGCCGACGCAACGGCGGTAGATGAGGCGGCGGCGGCGGCGAGCGTGGCGGATCTGTCGGATGTGATGGAGTGGGAGTTGGACTTCTGCTCGCGCCCGCTGCTGGACGAGCGCGGCAAGCGCGTGTGGGAGCTGCTGGTGTGCGACAGCAGTCGGCGACTACAATTCGCCGAGTACTTCCCGTCCAATCGCATCAACTCGGCGACGCTCAAGGACGCCTTGTTGCGAGTAATGGACGCCACGGGCGCGCCCAAGCCGCAGAAGATCCGGTTCTTCAGGTGCGCCCGCTGTTGCGTTGCCAAATCTGCTTCCTCTTTCTGTGCCATTCGCTGTGCTTGTTTAGACGCCATGCGTTGTGCGCTCGTTACGCTTGTCCGCAGCGCATTGTGGTAACGACGCTTGGCGCCTGGCGCAGATTCCACCGCCGATCTCGACGCTCATTAGCGACGAGTAATGTTGAGAATTCCCAACCCATATCCCCCTCCCTCCCGTCTTCCGCTCCTAACCCGCCTGTTGTTGCTCCATGTGCCCTTATCTTTCCCCGCGCCACTATAGATCCTCGTCTCCTGCACCGGTTGCTTTGCGGGTCTTCCGTGGTACCGTTTTTTCCTCCCTCGCCCGTTTCGCCATAGCGCACTCACACTAGCCTGTTGTTCCTTGCCTCCGCATGTTCCGTCTTTCCCTTCGCTCCCCCCCGTGCCGTGTGCGTGTGCGCGCGTGCGAACGCGGCAGGGCTCAGATGGCGACGATCATCTCCAAGGCCGCCACGGACCTCGACATTCAGCCCGTGCCCAGCCAGCGGGTACGTCCCCTTTCGCTCCCGCCTCGCGCCTTCTCCGCCGTGCTGCTTCCCCCTCCTCTGTTGCTGCTTCCTCCCCCCACGTTGCGGCTTCTTTCCCCCCCGTTGCTGCTTCCCCCTCTCCCCTTGCTGCTTCCCCCTCCCCTTGCTCCCTTTCCTACTTCATCTCGCCTCCCTCCATCCTCATGCCAACTCTCTTCCCTGATCTCCTCACTCTTCCTCTCTCTCACACACACACTACCCCCGCTCGTCTCCCCCCCCCCTCCCCTCTCTTCCCTCCCCCCGCGCCAGTGCGTGACGTTGCTGCGGTGGTTGGACGAGCGCTACGACGCGGTGTACCGCGTGCAGCCCAATTTCCAGGCCAACGCGCCGCCGCTGCTGCAGCTCGAGGCGGCGGCGCCGCAGGACCTGCCGGACACGCTGCGCGGCGAGCAGTGGGCGTTCGTGCAGCTGCCGCTCTCGGGTGAGTGCCCTGCGCGCGGTAGTCGTTAGCTAGTAGTCAGTAGTCGAAAGTCACTACGCAGTCGTCAGTAGTCGCTGCCCCCTTGTGGTACCGCCGTTTTTCGTGCGTGTTTCCCGTTGCCACCCTCTCATCCACGCCGCACTCGTGTGCCCCTCCGCGGGCCGATGCCGGCGTGGCTCGAGCGAGGCGAAACGGTGAATGAACAGAGACGCGCGAGGCCACGTGGGGCGCGTGAGACGCGTGGGGCGCGTTGGAGGAGGAGTAGAGGCGTGTTGGTCCAGTCCAGGGGGAAGAGCACCTCGGGGTGAACACACGGTGCAATGACGCTAAGGGGGACGAGAGGGTCGGGTGGGAGGGGGAGGAGGGAGAGTGTGATAAGGAACGTGTGAAGTGTGCGTAGCTGGCAGGTGTTAGTGCGGCGTGAGGCGCGCAGGGCAAGATTCGGAATAGTGGAGTGAACAGTAACCGGGTGTGAGGCGGAGACGAATGGAACGGAGCAAGCCGGACAAGCGCATTTGTGCGTGCGCGCGCACCTGCCTGCGTACGTCGCGCTCGTGTGGGCAGGGGGGAATAGTTGGGTGAAGGAAAGGATAGTTAAGTGAGCTAGAGCTTGCAGCTAGGGCCGTGACGTCACGAACACGTTCGCCTCGACTGCGACGGCCATCGTCGTGTTACCATCACCCCATCTCGCCCCTTGCGCACCTCACATCAGCCTTCGTCCCCCCGTCCATTCCTCTCCCCCCCCCCTTCTCCTCCCCCCCACTCTCCCCCCTTGTCCCTCGCCCGTCGTCCGTCGCCCCTCGCCTGCTGGCTCCCGCGTTCCGCCGCCCCTGGGCGCGCAGGCATACTGGAGGAGATGCAGCGGGTGCGCGCGGGCGACATGTTCGGCAGCGTGCTGGACCTGGCGGCCATGGGCCTCGCCTCGCTACCGCCCGACGCCATGGTGCCCGGCGTCGCCGTCGCATCCACGCGCGCCACGCCCCTCGCAGGTGAGACCTGTGCACGCCCCTAGCCCGGCAGTGCTCCTGCATGCGTGCTTGTTGGCTGCTCGCTCCTTGGAGCTCGTGGCACCCGCTAGGAGCACGAGGAGCGGGGTGGAGTCTCGCATCTGGGGGCGGGAGAGTGGGGTGGTGTGCTGTCCGGTGGTGTCGACGAGCTGGGGAGAACATGGCTGCTGCCGCGTGTCATGCTGCGTGCCATGCTGTGTCATGCTGCGTGCGGTGCGGCATTCGGCGGCCTACCTGTTGTGTGCTGCCCCAGTGCAATTCATCTCCCTCGCCCTCCTTGCATCACTCATTGCTGCGCCCACTACCTGCCATGCCCGCCAACGTCACCTCTGTTCCCTTCTGCCCGTCCTGCTGCCTGCCTGCCGGCGCCATAGCTTCTTCACCCATGCCTCACTCCACCCATGCCTCACTCCACCCATGCCTCACTCCACCCGTGCCTCACTCCACCCGTGCCTCACTCCACCCGTGCCTCACTCCACCCGCGTCTCACTCCGCCCGCATCTCACCCCACCCGCGCGTCTCGCTCATTCTCCCAGCATCCGCGCCCTTACTCTGCCTCCACTCCGCCCCTCCGACCCCCTGCTACCAGCTTTGCACAGCGACCCTGCCCCTACCTTTCTGGCCCCCCTTGCCGGTCCTCTGTGCCCTTCTTTCCCTCGTGCGAATCCCATGCATCCCCACCTCTTTGTAATCTTCCTTGCTCTCACTGTCACCTCATAGGCTCATTCCCCCATCTCCCCTCCCCCCCCCCCCCCCCCCCCCCCCGGTCCTGTGCTTCCCCCTTTCCTCCCCCTTCCCCCCCTCCCCCGCCTTCACAGCATGGACAAGTGCGTTGGAGCTGGCGTCCCTGCGGGTTGACCCGTCCAAGGCGTGCCTCCTTCTCGCCACGGGCGTGGCGGACACGTGGCGCTATGCCTTCTACCGCCGCTCCATGGCTGCAGATGCGGAGGCGCGCGCGTGGGAGGAGGCGAAGTGCGCGTGCGGGGGCTTGCACTTCCTGGCGGTGCAGAGGGACCTGGAGGAGGAGGACTGCACCGGCTTCTGGTTGCTGCAAGACGCCGACCCTCCCCGCTTCTGATGTGGTGTGGAACCATGGGGTCGGATCGGGTGTGGTCCCAGGGATGGTGTTTCCTTGTACACGTTTCAGTGCTTAGTGTGCCTGCCTTGTGCTCGCTTTTTGAATATTCTGTTGTTAGGTTTGTTTAATTCCCTGGGCTCGACAAAGAGGGCCTTGCTTGCATTACAGAGTACATGTTATACAATCGCAGAAAAAAAAGAGCTGATGATACTACCAGTATTGGTAGGGTATCAGCTTATAAACACTTAAACAAAAGTGCTACTTATTAAGAAGGAAACTTCCAGCAGTGACAGGCCTTAGACTGAGATAGGGCGTTGCTTACTCCCACCACCATCCATATAGGCCGCTCTCTTCTCATCCATGAGGTTTTGCAGCAAGCGTCAGCACAGCAGCAGCATCACAACCCTTGGAATGCCGCCTCCAGCTTCTTTGCAGTTACCGTGGGGCTCATTGCAGCAGGGCTGAGCGGTGAATCCCCTCCCTGCCCATTCACCTCCCCACCGCCCACCACCGCACTGCCCGCTGCTGTTGCAGCTGCCGCTCTGCTGCCTGCCTGGGCAGCACGGGGAGAGGTACGAGCTATACGCAGGCGACTCAGAGTGGGGGAGAGGGAGGAGGAGAGCGGGGCAGGGGGCGAGGACGTGGGTTCCAAAGCAGGAGGGTGTGAAGGTGAAGCGGTGGGTAGGGTGGAGGGAGGTGGCAGGGGGGCGGGGGCGGGGTCGGCGGGTGAGGGGGGCGAGGAGTGGTGCAGGAAGCGGTTGAGGATGCCACGGATGAAGGGCGCCATGGCGGAGGGGTCGGTGTCGTGGAAGTACATGAGCCCGCCCATGCACGCCGAGAACAGCACCACCTGGGGGAGGGAGGATTTTTTGGTGGGGGGGAAGTGGTTGTTGGGGGACGAGGCAGGTGAGAGAGGTGATGTGTGTTTGGCGACGAGGGCGTGAGATGGCAGGTTGAGATTCAATGGCAATGACGAGGGATGTGCGTGACACAACCGAGAGACAAAAGCGAATGTAGGGGCGGCGAGAGGAGCAGAGGGAGGCAAGCAGAGAAAATGTGACAGCCGAAGGGGAACGAGGGCAGGGGGGTGGGGAGTGAGGGGAGGGGTGCGAAGTGGGAGAGTTTGTGAGAGTGAGTTAGTGGTGAGTGTGCCTGGGGTGTGCAAGAGCAACAGTGAGTGAGAGAGAGGGAGAGCGAGTGAGGAGGCATAAAGCGCGGGGGCCACGAGCGCACCTCGGCCATGTTGATATCGGGCAGGATGTGGCGGTGGACGAGCATGTCGATGAGCGAGAGGGAGAGACAGAGACAGAGGAAGAGTGAGGAAAAGAGGGAGAGAGGGGCAGAGGGCATGGAGCGCAGGGAGGCATCCATCCACGAGCGCACCTCGGCCATCTTCATATCGGGCAGGATGTGGCGGTGGACGAGGATGTAGATGAGCGAGTCCAGCGCGCGCGGCAGCACATACAGCGTCAGCTCCGTGCGCCGCGACGCCTTCTCTATCAGCACTGACAGCCCTGCCACCGCCCCTGGAAGAAATGGGTAGAGGGTATGGTTGAGAGGGCGGAAGAGACGACCATAGGGAGGGGGGGGGGAGGGAGGGTGGCAAGTCAGGTGTGCGAGAGGCAGTGGCTTTTGGCAGTGGGATGCAGTGCAGCCATGGAAGACTGAAGCAACGGGGAGAAGAAGCATGTGCCAGATGATCACCGCAGTGAGTGGGTTGGACGATGGCACTTGTTTGTCGACAGTGTGGGAGTGGGCATGGCACGGAGGTAAAGGGGGGGAGAGGGTATGGTGTGAGGGAGGCTGACCGGCGAGCCAGTAGTAGAACTTGTGGTCCTTGAGCACGAGCTTGCGTTGCGTGCACACACACGCCTGCCATGCACGCACGCACACATGCATGCACAGACACTCGCACGCGCGCGCACACACACACACACACGCGCATGCACGCACACACATACGGCATGAGATGCGGGGCAAGGCTAGTGAGGCGAGCAAACAGGTGGGTCAGGAGACTCAAGCATGCAGAGCGAGCGGTGTTCCTTGGATTGGAAGCATGTCACAGGCAGGGAGGGACCTGGCAGGAGGGCGGGGAGGGCGGGAATGGCAAGGCAGAAGAATCAGTTTCAATTGCAGCACGGGATGGCATGGAGCGAGATAGTAGGGAAGTGAAGAGGATAGGAGGTGCGGGGGTGAGGGGGTGAGGGGGTGAGGGGGTGAGGAGATGAGGTGAGGGCATGGCGTGCACCTGGTAGATGCCGACGAAGACAGCAATGAAGGACGTGGATCGCAGGGCGGACACAGTGGCCAGCCACACCGTGCGCAGGGGCGACTGCAGGAACTGGAGACAGGGGCGGAGGAGAGCGGGGGAGAGCAGGAGAAGCAGGGCGGGTGAGGAAGGTGAGGTTCACGGTCACTACTGCCCTTCCTGTCACAGCAACACATGGGTACAGCAGCAGGCATGGAAGCTGACACCCACTGGAGAGAGTGTCAGGCATAGCTGCTGTCCACCACTCCACGCACCTCCCAACCCTCTCTGCAAGCTCACGGCGGCCTGCACCGGGCTGCTTTACTGCCACCACCACACCTTGTGCATGCTAACCCCACCGAGCACCTTGAGCATGTTACCACCGCCGCGCACCTTGTGCATGCCACCACCACCCGCACACACCTTGTGCATGTTGAGCACGACGAAGGGCACGAAGGTGAGCGAGAGGTACAGCGGGAAGGTCTTGCGGAAGGCGTCCCTGGCGGCCCTCAGCTGCGCACGTGGGCACGACGCGCACCCGGGATGCAGCACCGCGCACGGCACCACGGCCGGCACGGGCCCCATGCACAGCGGCGCCAGCTGCCCTGTGCGCCCGTGCAGGAACGCCGTGAGCGCCGTCGTGTCCATCGGCAGGCCCCGGCAGCTGCGCCGCACCGCCTGGGGTGGACAGGTTAGGGAGGGAGGGATGGAGGCGAGAGGAGGGGCGCAGTGCAGCGAGTGGTGGGAGAGTGATGATGGGAGAGGAGCGCAGATGAGGAGGAGATGGTTGTGGGTGCAGACCAAGGGGCAAGCGAGAATGGCGAGGTGTGTGATGTCGAAAAAGGCGGCGAGGAGGGTGGGTGTGAGGAGAACCCAATGACAGCAGGCACGGTGACGTGAGGAGGCACGGAGACAGCAGAGCGACCAGGCACAAAGGAAGCCAGAGAATCCTGTGCATGTGTGGTGAGCTCGTGTGGTGTGAGCACGTGCCAGTGGCGCGGCTGACCTCGAGCACGGGTGGCGGGGTGGGGCCGGTGCGGGAGATGAAGTCCCAGTAGGTGGAGGGCAGGGTCTCGGGGCGCATGACGTACGCGTACATGATCTGCGCCGACGCAAACAGGAACAGCGCCGTGCCGCCCAGCTTCCTCAGCGGGTGGCTCTGCAGCACTTGCGCCCACCGCCCCTTGGACGCACACACGCACTGGGTCGGGGGGGAGAGAGGAGTAGAGCGAGGAAGCGGAGGAAGGGGAGGAAGGGGAGGAAGGGGAGGAAGGGGAGGAAGGGGAGGAAGGGGAGGAACCAAAGGGTGAATTTGAGACGGGTGGATCTGGGGGAGAGGGGACATGCTTTCAACGGTAGCACACGATTCAGCCATGCACAGACGTTGGTGCCAGGGAAGCTATGTTGGGTTGATGTGAATGGTGCGGGCATGGCACCCGGACAAGTCAGCCGGAGCTGCCTTGCTTGGGAATGTGAGCTGCATTGTGTGGGAGCATAACGCACAATGCAGGGCGGGCGAGGGCGAGGGCGAGGGCGAGGGGGGCACCTGGGCGAGTCTGGCGAGCAGGTAGAGAGCGAGCGAGCGGCGCTTGTTGGGGTCGTCCAGAGCCAGCACAGACAGCCCCGACACCGCGCCTGCTATGGCTCTGCGCGGCGGGGGCAGGGGGGGGTGCAGAGAGAGGGGGAGAGGGGGGGGAGCGGTGGTGGGGATGAGCATGGAAGGGTGGCAGCGGACGAGGCAGGGCAGAGGGAACGCGAACCCTGGAAGGAGACGGACCAACTCCGCTGGGGCCACCCTGCTGCTGGTCCCTTGTGCGCTGACACACGAAGGATGCAGCTGTGCCAACCACCTGCCAGCCTTTCCACTAGGGGTGGCATATCAATGGCTGCACGTGAAGCAATCAAGCCGGACATTCGCGCGCCAATGGTTGGGTGCCATGCCGCATGGCAACACGGGAGGTGCACGAGGGGAGGCCTGGTGCCGGGCATCAGTCCTGCAATGGCACGCATGTGGCGCATGGGGCAGCAGCGCTGCAGTGCACGCCAGGGGCGACGCCAGAGCCTTAAGGGGGCGGCGGCGAAATGTTTTTCCGGGGAAGTAAGGAGGAGCGGAAGGAGTGGCAGGGCTTGTGAGTGCACTGACGCGTTGGCGGGCGTGTCGCAGTCGCGGCAGCGGCGCAGCAGGCAGCGCGCGGCGTGGTAGAGGCCCGAGAAGCCCCCGAAGAAGAGCCCCAGGCGGCACGCCTCCTCGCGCACCATCAGGTTCTTCTCCGACAGCAGCAGCTGCGCGCGCACGGGGGGCACGTTGGGGGGGGGGGGGGAGGGGTAGGGGTATGGTGGTGTGCGGTTGGGGGGTGGCGCTCCAAGGGGGAGAGGGAGAGAACGAGATGGCAAGGGAGAGGGGGGGGAGAGAGAGAGAACGAGGGAGAGTGAGATGGGGGGAGGGGAAAACGAGAAGGAAAGCGCAGGGGAATGGAAGGAGCGAGCAGACGAGTTAAGGGAGGAGGTGCAGTGGGGCGAGCACGTGGAGGGCGAGCACGTGGAGGGCGAGCACGTGGAGGTCGAGCACGTGGAGGTGGAGCGCGCACCTGGAGGTCGAGCGCGGACTTGAACGACTTGTTGCGGATGAGTTTGAAGGCGCGCAGCAGCACGCCGATGCCCACGCGCACGCCGTACGCCAGCAGGAAGCTTTGGCACAGGCTGCCCACGGCGTTCGCCACGCACGAGTCGCCGTGCTGGCACAGCGGGTGCCGCGCGCCGAACACGGCGGAGTACGCGTCCGACCGCTTGCGGTGCCGGTTGTAGAGCTCCTCCAGCGCCGCGCGCAGCTGCGCCTCCGCCGCCGCCAGCCGCCGCTCCGCCTCCGCCTTCTCCACCGCCGCGCGCGACGCCACCTCCTCGATGTTCGCGCGCACCCATGGCGCCTGCCCGCCCGCCCGCGCGTGCGCACTGCCGCCGCCGCCGCCGCCGCCGCCGCCGCCGCTGCTGACGCTGCTGCCGTTTCTGCCGCTTGTGGTGGTGGTGGTGGGGGCTGTACAGGAGGAAGCGGCAGGGAAGGCGGCAGCGCGAGCGGATAGTTGTGGACTGCAACCGTCAGCGTTCTCGTGGCTCGGACTGGCCACCGCAATTCGCGACTGCGCGGTCAGTGCTGACGTGGCAGACCCTCCCGGCATCGCGGCAGGCCCGTCTTGCGCGTCGACTCGACTGTCGCCGGAGCTGGTGCGCGACGCCATGGTATGGCCGGCGATGCGCCGCGCGCCACACGGCGGATGAGTCCCGCGCGCGCGAGCCTCGGCTCCGGGCGATGCAAGTACGAGGAACAACAGCGGCCGCTGCACGCCCGCTGAATGAGACGGGTGATGCGACGAGGTCGCCGCTGCGACAGGGCGAATACGAGGATTCTAAGACACGAGCGGGTGGTTGGTGGTGCTGGCAATTAGATGCTCTCCTGTGCGGGTTCAAACGGCTAAGCGACAGTGCTTCAGGATAACTCTAACAGCGGTTATGTTCGCACTCGAATTCGGCCGACAAGTGCGGAGGTGGTGGGTTGAGGTGAGACAATTGTTGTAACTGTTGATGTGGGCCAGCGGGTTCCATCAGCATCCAGAGTCACCAGGAATCTCCAGGAATCGCCCGGAGTCGTCAGCCAGTGAAGGTGAAGCCCCGTCACCGTATCCAAACGCTCGGTATCCTTCTGCTTCATACACAAACGCGCTGTAACGCCCTGCGAGGGCAGGCGGTGTTGTGTTCCACCTCGATATCATCTTCGCTACTAAATATGCATGCTGTACAAAGCGGAACCTACACTCTACTATGACTTGGTGTAAGGAATCCATACCAAGGAAAATCCTCTACGCTCTACAGGATGGTCACCCATTTTAACATCCGTATACAAATTAGCATTTAAAACCAGGGCGAGAGCAATTGCTTGCAGTAACTAAAATCATGTGCTGAATAACAAATATTATTTTCGTAGTGCAAAATTGTTTTCCTCATATGAAGCACGCAATAGCTATCATATGGTAGTATGTTTCAAGAGCATGCCAACAACGACTGTCCTTGTATGTTAGTAACACATGCAGAGACATATGCTTTAAACGTCTCAAGGTGCCTTGCACAAGGTTACGCCCTTGTACAAGCGGCTGTTAGTGCACACATAACCACTATTATACTGTGCCAGCAGTCGTGCGGAGCTTTTGAAATACATAGCAAGGATACGCGCACATGTGTCTCCCGTCACAACCGTGTAGACCGATTTGGTCAGACATCTAGAAGCTCCGAGCAACACACTCGACTTCCCACCTCGCACACACACCTGAACACCAAGCAAGTGAAAGGTGGGCAGAAACATCAATTGCTGCACGAAATCAGCAACGAGAATGGTCAAGAATGACTTAGCTGGATGGCCTTCTATATAGCAAGGGTGGAAGGGGGGGAGGGGAGGAGAAAGGGGGGGGGGGTTGGAGGATGTGTTAAGTAGCTGCTAAGCACAGGACAAAGGCCAGCTGTATATGCGTAGTTGCATAAGAAGGCATCTTACCTGTTGGCCTAGAAGCATTTGCTCTCCCGCATTGCAGTTAATCCCTGGGTTCAACGAGTAGAACTCCTGTGCACTCAGAGGTGGGCGTGCGGCCCTCATCATAGTGTCGCAGCTGTCACCCTCTGCTACAGTCTGAAACTCCTGGCACGCTGGCATGTCTGGTGTGCCATGCGCCACACACACCTGCGTGCACAAGAAACAGGGTACAGCAAAGAGACTGAGTAACCCCAGGTTCTTTTCTGTTGATCGCAGGTGTCCTAACAACAGAATGCCATGCCACTGTGCATCACCTAGATCCAGTTGTCCTGCCTTCCTTGCCTTACCTGCTGGCCAGCCTGCAGGCGGCCACACGGCAGGTCGTCATTCAGCTGCAAGAACTGCGAGCGAGTCATGCTGAATGCTGCTGCTATGCTCTCACACGTGTCATCCTGCCAGTGGTCGCACGCACAGGGACAGTGGTACAATAAATTTGTGCCAGATAGGAAGTTTTTCCGGAAAGAAGGTGTCACGGTTTTTCCAAAATTATAGCGGGGAAAGGAATGACCGTTCCCTAGCCAGCATCTTATTGCCAGGCTGCAGATCAAGCATCCTCATCAGGAGCAAGGTTGGAGGCCGTTCAGCTTCTAAGCAAGCACGCATGGATCGAACACGATGGCAGGGTGCTGTGTTGCTCACCGCGGTGACAGTATAGGGAGTGGCGCACAGGGTGCCGTCGCTGACATTGATGTCGTCCCCTATGGCCAGGCTGGAGCAGTTGAGCTTCTGGAGGGCGCAGTCAGGGGAGCGCACGAGGGGGGCACACACACACAAGCACACACGGACACATTGAAGGGAAGGACGATGGCACTCATGAATGGGCCAGTCAAATTTACAGACACTTGACCAGTGGTGCGAGCTTTCGTTCGTGTGTAAAGCTGCTTTTGTGTGGGTGATGCTGAGAGGCATGGTGGTGACAGCAAGCACAGCGTTGTGTGTGGCGAGCAGCATGCGGGTTTCATCCCACCGGGTTGAGCTGAGTGAAGTTGGCCTCTGAAATGCCGAACGTGGACCGCACAATGTCACATGTCAGCCCTGGCACCACGTGGACCTCTGAGGGAGTGACACCTGGCACGGTAGGGGAGGAGGAGGAGGGGGTGTGCGGGGGAAGAGAGGGGGGTATGGTTTGACACAGCTCAAAAGCACCAGGCAGAGGCGCGGAGAAAGGATGATGGACGACTGGTGAGAGGCAGGCATGCCGACACACTTTCTCCAGGCGTTTTTTGGCATTGTCGCATTTTGCAAGGTGAAAGCAAGAGAGCAGCAGCACCTGGCACGCAGACAGGGGTTTCATCGGGCCGCTCGTCCGCCACGAACCCCGCAGGGCACAGACAGTTGTAGCCGCCCGCTCCATCATCGAGACACGTGCCAACCTGGCAGGGGTTGGCGGCTGTCATGGCGCACACATGGACTGGTAGGGGGTGGGGGGGGGAGGGATGTGGGGGGGGAAAGGAGAAAAAGAGGGGAAGGGGAAGATGGGATGGAGGGGGAGGGGGCGGTTACGGGTAATTTCGAGGGAAGATGGTTGAAGAAGGAGGAAGTTCAGCGCTGGCACTTCTTCAGTAAGAGAGATTGGATGCTATGCTAGCATGCCGGCTTACAGTGGTGCGGCATAATGGCATGGTGTGCAAGTGGAAAGCGGGAGGGCCGGTCTTCAAATGGTCAGAAAAGATGGTTATTCGTTTATCTAAGCCCACCATTTTCTCTCTCCTAGACCTGTCAATGCTGCTCTCAGCATTGAGCCCAACCGCACACGCGCACTTGCACGTCCCTCCCCTTCTACTGCCCCGCTCACCCGCAGTGCATGTCTCAGAGCCGTCGATGTTCCTCGCAGCAGCGAATCCCGCCGCACACGCGCACTTGCACGTCCCTCCCCTTCTACTGCCCCGCTCACCCGCAGTGCATGTCTCAGAGCCGTCGATGTTCCTCGCAGCAGCGAATCCCGCCGCACACGCGCACTTGCACGTCCCTCCCCTTCTACTGCCCCGCTCACCCGCAGTGCATGTCTCAGAGCCGTCGATGTTCCTCGCAGCAGCGAATCCCGCCGCACACGCGCACTTGCACGTCCCTCCCCTTCTACTGCCCCGCTCACCCGCAGTGCATGTCTCAGAGCCGTCGATGTTCCTCGCAGCAGCGAATCCCGCCGCACACGCGCACTTGCACGTCCCTCCCCTTCTACTGCCCCGCTCACCCGCAGTGCATGTCTCAGAGCCGTCGATGTTCCTCGCAGCAGCGAATCCCGCCGCACACGCGCACTTGCACGTCCCTCCCCTTCTACTGCCCCGCTCACCCGCAGTGCATGTCTCAGAGCCGTCGATGTTCCTCGCAGCAGCGAATCCCGCCGCACACGCGCACTTGCTCTTGCCCCCGCGGTTGCTGCACTTGCCGCTGCCACATGGGTTGATGGGCTGGCACGGGTGTGACCCACCCACCACGGGGTACAGCGCTGGACTCGTATTGATGCCGCAAATGCCGCTGCCTGAGTGTGTGTCGTGGAAGGGGGGGGGTGGGGGGAAGGGGCGATGGTGGGATGGGTAGGGGCGATGGTATGGACTGAATGGTGACACTGAATGGTGCTTTGTGGGGTCGTGCTCCTGCATGCTGACTGGTTGTTGGGACAGGGGAGTGCCTGATGGACACCTATTGAGAAGTAATAAATTAGAACGTATTAGCGACCCTCGTTTACTTAGTTTTCCAAATACCATGCCTCACAACAGTCGCAAGACCAACAGCCCCCCGATGTACCAGGTTACTTTTTTTTTTTTTTTTGCTGTGTGTGTGTGTTTTTTTTTTTTTTTTTTTTTTTTTTTTTGCTGTGTGTGTGTGTGTGTGTGTGTGTGTGTGTGTGTGTGTGTGTGTATGTGTGTGTGTGTGTTTTTTTTTTTTTTTTTTTTCAACTCGACAACCAACTGTTACAAGCCGAGCAGAAAGGCACCTGATTCAATGGCCATCTGCATGAAGCCGCCGTCCCCCCAGGTGGATCCCCAGGTGTTCTGCAGGAGGAAGTAGGGCGTGACACCCTCCAGGCTGTACCCCACCAGCAGCACGATGTGGTTCACCACGCCGTTCAAGAAACAATCCGGATCCGCGTACACGAAGCCCTGAAGGGATTGGAGTTGCGGGAGGGAGGGAGGGGGGAGAAGAATGTCCGATCAGCACGATGAACCCCTCCAGAGATTATCCGTTTTAGAACGTTTCAAAAACCTTGCCCCTTTTCTGCCTTATGATACCGTTGCCTTCCGCGAGTGACAGTGCAGTCTTCCTTGCGCTTACCCTTGCATTGTTAGATCTTTATCATTGCATGAAAAATATATATTGTTAGCCTCGCCCCCACCATGCTCTCTGCCCCCCCCCCTGCCTCACACCTTGATAGTTTCTATACAGTGTTCTTTCAGTCCGCTATGACGATACTGCTAATGGTTACTCCACTTGCAAGTTACCCCCAGTTTGTTGCACGAAGTACAACTCACCCCCTGGTAGTTGATAAACGACAGTTGATCCGCCTCCACGTTGGCAATGATTGGCTGCGCCTGCAACGCCAGCACCATGCCCAGCCAACCAGGGACCGACACCTGTCACACCGCAGCAGCACCACGTCAAAAGGCATAGGGGCAGCAGAGGTAGGCGAGCGAGGAGATGTGAAGGAACACAGCAGCTAAGTTGAGTGTGGTGGTAGGGTGTTGAGTGCGGTGAGGAAGCAAGCGCACCTGTTCGAACATGGAGATGGAGAAGCGGCCGGAGAGGGGACGGATGGAGGGCACTTGGGGTGGGAAGGCGGGGGTGGGGGAAGGGGAGGAGGGGGGAGCGGGGGTGGGAGGCAGTTTGGGGGGCTGGGTAGGCCCTCTAATTTTTTTGAGGAGTTGGAAGACGATGGAGGGGAAGGAGGGGGACGGCTTCTTGCGCTTGTCGTCTTCATCGCTTGTCACTGCTGCTGAAGATGCTGCCGCTCTGCCTGCTGACGTCGCTGCTGACGTGGATACTGCACGCTCAGGTGCCGCCCGAGCCAAGGCTTGCCGCCCTCTGGCAGCAGCAGCAGCAGCAGGCTTTGAAAGCGGCCTTCCTTCCGTTGTTTGTTTCTTGGGTGGTTTCGCCTGGCCTGCTTTGGTAGGTCTAGCAAGTTTCTGAGGCCCCGCACCGCCAACCATCCCCTTGACCGCCTTTGCAGGTTTGGAAGCCGAGGTCGCCTTCTTGACGGGCAGTGCTGCAGCCTTCTTGTTCTGCTGCTTCAATGGCCTGGAAGCAGGCCCGGTGAGAGGCCCAGATGGAGGCTTGGTGGGAGGTTTGGTGGTACGCTTGGGAGGTGCAGGTTGTGGCTTGGACTGAGGCGAGGTGCGTTTAGCAGCGGCTGCAGGCTTCGATTTCGTTGGGAGAAGCTGCGGTGGTGGGGAGGAGGGGGAGAGGGACAGGCAGGGAGAAGAGGCCAGAGGTAGGTGGCTTTAGGCGAGCCAAAACGAGAGTGCTGCTAGCTTGGTTCTTAACTGGAAGGCAGATTTCTGCAAGGTGATGCGTTGAGTTCAGTGTGCGCCCAGCACCACCTCCCACTCATTCCACACCCTGCAGCCACTCGCAGCCACCACTCCCGTGCACGGCCCAATGCACTGCGTCACAACCCCACCCTCCTAGCAGCAGCCACGAACTGGAAAGCGCCGGCGGGGATGGCACGTGACAGCACGGCTCTATGTGTTGGTGCCTCGGCGACCGGGAGGGATGCGTGCACGACGCACCTTGCAGTCGCTCGCATTGACCACTCCCGTGTACGGCACTGCTTTCTCCACGGACACCCCTCCCACCGCCGCCACAAACTGGAACGCGTCGGCCGGGATGCCACCTGTGCACTGCCACGTGCCCTGACAGCTCAGCACCTGCTGACTGGACAGGTTGGGGTGGTTGGCTCCAAATGATATCGCATAGGCCGCCTCTATAGCCGCGATGGGCACCAGAGCCCAGCATGCCGCTGATGGAGTTGGGGGGTGGGGGGGGGGAGGGGATGCACAGGGGGCGGAAGGAAATTTCTGAAAGTGTATGAGAATCAAATTTGCGGCTCAAGACAGGTTGGGGCGGTTCGCACAATCTACTAGAATAGGCTGCTTCGATAGCAGCTAAAGGTAACAGAGGAACGTGGAGACGGGGATGGGGAGGGAGACGGAAGGTAGTCGGGGTGTTGCTGGCTGATTGACTGGGTTGCTGTCATCACACAGAAGGCCTCGCTGGCTCTAATCACCAGAACCACTGCCTAACAACCCCTCCATTCTACACCAAACCGTCCTGAGGCGGCTCAAACCGCCGGGGCACCAGAGCTACACTACCACATCCCTTTCCCCCTATCCCGCCTCTCACCCCTCCCCTCTCCCGCGCCACTCACCACACAGGCCTTGGTCCTTCACCGCAGGAACCACCGTGACGTTCCGTCCGCGCACTAGCACCCGCCCCCTCCAGTCCACGGCCTGCCGGTACGCCCAGGAGGGCTGTGCGGCAGAGCCGTTGAAGCCCAGGCTGCCGTAGCGGAAGAAGCGGTTGAAGTGCGACGGGGTCATCGCCCGCACTGACTTGAAGTCCCTGTCGCGCAGCCCGGGCCTGTGGCGCTGCTTCAGAGGGTCGTCTGGGGGGGGGGGAAGAGAGAGACGGGCAAGAGAAGGGGAAGGGGTGGTTGAAGTGGGAGGTGGTCTTTGATGGGGCATGGGAGGGTCGGGGTTGAGGACTCGATGTGTCGGCCTCGGACATGGGTGGACATGAGGAGAGAGGAAGAACGAAGAGGGCTGGTAGGAGAAGGAAAAGAGGAAGAAACGAGAGGTGGAAGGCCATTAACACACACATGTGCACACACATAGCACACATACAACACACACACACACTCACGCACGCACGCTCGCACGCTCGCACGCTCACACGCAGGCACGCACGCACGCTCACATGCACATACACACACGCAGACACCCGCATGCACACCACGGCTTACCCTCATCTGGTGGAGGGTCTGGTGGGAAGGGAGGGGGCGGATTCTCAGGCTTATTCGCCGAGCAGGTAGGGTAACTACCCCCATTCCACTCCACCATGTCCTCATAGTAGCCCTCCTCGCACACACACACGGGCACTCTCGATGGCCCCTTGAGAAAGCACCTCCCATAGCCCCCACACACCCCCTCCGCACTGTTCACCCCACAAAACGCCAAACACTCCCCCTGCTTCCGCTGCCTCCCTCCCTCCTCGCACCCTCCCCCTCCTCTTGGGTTAAGGCAATTTCCTCGCACTGAACCGTACTGAGACGGACTATAAGGGAGCAGATTCGCTGCTGCGAACCCCCCCTGCTGATCTTCCGGGCAGAAAGCAATATTTCCGGCTGTGACCTCGGCCCGGGCAGACCCAGTAAAAAAGTTTTTTTCGACGTTGAAAGTGGCGAGGGGGAGAGAGGCGAGGGAGGGGGAGGAGAAGACAGAAGGGAGGGGACCGGAGAACTCGTTATTGGATATGTCACTGTGGGGGGGGGAGGATGGGGAAAGGGACGGTGAGGGGAGAGTTGTGAGGGATGGGAGGAGAGGGTCCGATGCACAGAATAGAAGGTGCTTCGGAGAGAGAGGAGAGGGATGGAGAGGAGAAGGATGAGGGGAAGGGACCCGGCACTTCATTGTTGGACATGTCACTGTGCGGGGTGAAGTAGAGGGCGGTAGATTGGGGGGGGGGGGGTATGGGACCCTAAGGCCCGATAGTATATATGTCGCTGAGACAGTTGAAAGGAGAAAGGGGCGCATTGTTGACAATCGCTCGTTTCGGAATTCGAGAGTGTGATGCACTGCGATCGGCTGTAAGCATCTAAAGGACACGAGAGCTTCATCCCGAGGAGAAGAAACCACAACAGAAGGCAAGGCGACACAAGCGAAAACAACCAACAAACAAGGCTCCATGTCAGTGGAATCCTAGCGAAGCGTACAAGTAGACAAGGTTGGGCAGTTGGAGCAGCGGCGAGGGCAGGACGCCAGAGAGACGGTTCATGCTCAAGTCCCTGGGGCAGGAGAGGAGGGGCAGAGGGAGGGAGAGGGGTGCGTGAGAGGGAGGGGAGAGTGGGCAAGGCTGGGCAGGTGGAGGAGCGGAGAGGGAAGGAAGGAGGGGCGAGCGAGCAGGCGATTCATGCTGTGTGCGACGGCACGGCACACAGGTGAATGGGAAATTCCATGTGCAATTCCATGTGCAATTCCATGTGCAATTCCATGTGTGAGGGAATGGGAGGACGTTCGGGGGTGGAAAAGCCTATGCTGTTTCATCTGTGGCAAAGCAAGGCAGTTTGGAGCCAAAAGAAGGGCCATAGATGCCTGGTGGTACCCGCACTTGCCACTCATGCATGCCACCCACACCACATCACAAAAACATTCTCTCCGCTGTGCATTGCTTTCTGATGCATATCGCACCCCGTTGTTACATCACCCCACTATGAGCACCCCGCCAGCATGCACCCCGCCAGCATGCACCCCGCCAGCATGCACCCCGCCAGCATGCACCCCGCCAGCATGCACCCCGCCAGCATGCACCCCGCCAGCATGCACCCCGCCAGCATGCACCCCGCCAGCATGCACCCCGCCAGCATGCACCCCGCCAGCATGCACCCCGCCAGCATGCACCCCGCCAGCATGCACCCCGCCAGCATGCACCCCGCCAGCATGCACCCCGCCAGCATGCACCCCGCCAGCATGCACCCCGCCAGCATGCACCCCGCCAGCATGCACCCCGCCAGCATGCACCCCGCCAGCATGCACCCCGCCAGCATGCACCCCGCCAGCATGCACCCCGCCAGCATGCACCCCGCCAGCATGCACCCCGCCAGCATGCACCCCGCCAGCATGCACCCGGCTTACAGCGCCTGAAGCGTTGTGATGCTGCCTATCTCTGCAGGAATCGTCTCCGACAGCTCGTTGTCGCTCACAAGGCTGCCGTACAAGCACACGCAAGTCGACAGGTTATAGTCGCAGCCACATCCGCAGTACAACGAGCACACTCAAGCTAACAAAGCGACAAAGTGGTCCGTTGCACATCCTGCTGTCTTTCAAGTGTACCCATGCATACGCATTCACACCTCTACAATCCTGTATGTAAACGGACGCATACGCTAACGAGTACTTGGTGATCAGGCTGAAAAACAGGCTGAAATAGGCGAATGCAGTGACGAGGATGAGTGCATTTTACCTCTTCTAGGGAAGCGGCAACTCACAGGTACTTTAGGGCTTGGAGGTTGGAGAGCGAGGGAGGAATGGGCCCTGAGAACTCGTTCCTGCCCAGTGACCTGACACGTTTGGCACAACTCTAAATTAGTTCATTGTATGAGGAACGCGCGTGGCCTCGTATGTTGTATAGAATGTAGATGAAAGCATTACAGTGGTCGTCGTCATGCTATGCTTACAGCAGGGTTAGTTGGGTCAAGTTCCCTATACCAGCGAGCAGAGAGCCGTCTAACGAGTTGTCGTTGAGCCTTCTGAAGGGTACGGGAGGAGGGAATGGAGGAAAAGGGAGGTGATGCAGAGAAGATGGCAAAGTATACATCGCTTGCCCCTTGCCGCGAGGCAGAACGGCGGGCGAACGGCGGGAGAACGGAGGGAGAACGAAGCATAAGCTGTGGGAGCACGCTGCGATGTGGAGGTGATTCAAGAGGAGGAGCGAGGGGAACCCCTGGCGGTGAGAGACTCGCGGTCAGTGTGATTCAAGCTGTGGTGGACGTTCTCCCCGTGGCCTGGCCCATGTGATGTGCATGCCACGACTCGTCATGGATCTGCGAGGCTCACAGCTGTTGCAGCGTCGTGAGAGTGAAGAGCGCGGTCGGCAGAGGCCCTTCCAAGCCCTGGTTGCTCAGGTCGCTGGGGGGGAGCGGACGCAGATGGAGGAACAGGGGGGGATCGATGGAGCCATGAATTAAGATAAGGGAGTGGATTAATGACTATGGAGGTAACTCATGAGGGAAGGCACGTGAGAAACGAAGGGTAAGAAAACGAGGGGAAAGGGGGCGAAAAGGCTGCACCAAGTTCCCGCCGTGCGTTTCTCGTGGTAAGCTCACATGGTGCTCACAAGCCCCTCGTTATTGCACGTCACGCTGTTCCATTTCGAGCATTCCGAGCCGTCCTGCCACGTGGCAGTGGTAACAGAGGGCCACGCGGCGGCGATTGAGTGGAGCGCGGGCACTGTCGTCGAGACGGCGTTATGGGGAGGGCGGGGCAGAGAGGGGTGTGTGTGTGTGGGGGGAAGCGGAGGGGGGGGAATGGGGGAAGTGGCGTAAGTAGAGGGGAAAGATGGTGGTCGGAGACAGTTATAACGGGGAAAGAGTCACGAGGGGACCGGGGCTGGGCAGAAGTGGCAACAGTGTGGTGAGGATGGCGGAGAGAAGGAGAGTTGAGGCAAGGAGCGGAGAGATCTTACTTTGAGACTCGTGCACCAGTTGAGCCGACACCAGATGACACCTCCCCCCACACGCTGCTGCTGCTGCTACCGTCATCACAACCACCAGGCGCAGCAGGCGCTCGAGCCAGCTCGTCGAATGTCTACTCTTGATCTCCTTCGTTTTGAGGCGCCTCGGTACCAGTGCATGCAGCCACCTCGATCCCCGCTGCAGAGCCGCGGATGGAGCCGAATATCCCGCCGAATGGCACGGCGGGCGTTGCGGTGATCGCGCGCTTTCTACTGCGTCATGTCTGAGTGAGCGGCGGCGCTGGCACCATGCGGCATTCTGCGACCTGAACGGCGAACATTCCCCACGGAGTAACCCTTTCGCCTGCTTCGCCAAGCAATCGCGATCGTCTTTCATGGCTACGACTCCTGAGGCTTCAGCAGGTTCGTTACTGTACTCGATAGAAGGCTCCTCTATTTGCTGATACAGCAATGGGCCATAAATCGGCAGGTTCTGGGTACTCCGAGTCGTAGTGCCAAGGGCCATACTCGCATGGCGAGCGCGACCGCGCTTCTCATCAAGCTTCTACCCGCACTGCTCGACTTGCTCACTATAGGATTTCTCGCTAAGCGAGTGCTTGCTAAGCTATGTTCCTAAGCTGTTTCTTGACACGCGAGCACGCAGTGCTGTTTCTAAGCACACCCTTTGTTACAACGAAGCACTGCCTGCCCCCTGCGCGTCTAAGCGTCTCATCCTACTCGCTCCTAGGACGGTCATCCAAATCCCGTCGCAGCGAATCCTCGCACGGGATCGCCGCTTCTGTTCGCATCTCGGAACCGGACGCTTCGTACGAACAGGCGAGCAGGCAAGTTCCTTCCGCTGACGGAGAGCATGTAGTACTAACGCCAAGGGGAAGAAATTGAAAAACAGGTTTTTGTATGGCGGAGGGTGCAGAGTTACGGAGCGAGTAAAGGCAGAGCAGGCGGTTGTGAGCGTGGCTACGTGTACGTTAGGTTGTCGTCACATAAGAGAGGAGCCTACTGCCTGCCTGAAAGGGCGGTGAGTGAAGCAGCCGTAAAGCTCCCTCGCCGCGCGATTGCAACTCCGAGAGCTAGCTGTTGAGCGAGGCTGGTCAAAGCTTTTCACAGAGGTAGTGGACCCAGACGCACAAGTGAACAGCGACGCTGACTGGTCAAGGATAATTTTCTTCGGTTCACTTTTGAAGAAAGAAGGTGCACCCCTCCTGCTATCCAGTACAGCGCAGGAGGGGCTCGCGATGACAAGCTTGTGCCACGAACGAAAACGAATGGGAGCAGAGATATCGGGATGGAATGAGGGCCATTCTGGAGCCTCGGATCTGACCCGAGGTTCTTGCAGGAAGACCCGCGGTGGGAAAAAAAGGCCTTGGGTCTTGCGACCATTGACGGCTGCTTGACTGGATAAGCACGACTAGCTGACAAAATACTTCGGCGCGCAATGTTGCCGAATTGAGGGCCAGACGTCATCCGCCAATGTGCAGTCTCCATTCGCATTAGCGCCTCACATTTGCGACAAATCGAATCTGTTTCGCTGCAGCGCCGTCAGGCACAATTGTGACAACCCGTGGCTCCTTCGGCCGCGGGTCGATCTCGGGTCTGACACCCGCTCTGGAATCAAGCCTGAGACCTGGTTGGGCTGGCTGTCTTTATAACAGGGGTCGGACTGAAGCAGGGCTAATTTTTCGTTATACGGGACCCAGAGGGCACAGGGTTCGCCTCACAGAAGACCCTGAAAATTGGGCATTCCCAGGAAAATTCCTCTGTATTTCAGGATTCCTCTTCAGGCAGGGAATCCCGGTACGAAGCGTCTTAGAGCATCGAAATACACAATACTAACAGTCAGCACACTTTTTACCTTGGATACGAAGTACCAGACTATTCTGCCACCCGAAACACTAGCTGCGCACCACTACACACCAGCGCTCTCCCGGGCGAGGGTTCACAAGTCGCAATCGAGCCGGAACAGCCTGGTTGGAGGGTAGGAGAACTATCTGCTGTGGGAGAAAATCACTGGCAGTTGCTGCCACGTCACAGGTGGTTTTTCTGTCAGGATGATTTCCGGGCCCAGGCGTATGGCTGCGAGTCCCGGAAGAAAACGCTCGGAAACAATCAGGAGGTTTGTGGAAAAGACCCTATTAATCAGAATTCTAGCGCGCAACACCTAGAATGTACCTGTCATTCCGGATGTTTACCCTTGAACCTAGCGGCCTTCGGAAGGTGAGGAGAACGCAAGTCATGGGGTGAAATGCGGGCGGTGGTGGTGGGTGTCAGGGACTCGAGAGCTTGGAGGGAAGGAAGGAAGGTGAAAAATTCTGGTTTCACAAAATTTGAATGTCGGTGTGTCGTGCGGTCCGGCATTCCTGTCAAAGCGCCTGCCAGAAAACAATGCGACGCGGTGCAGGTTTGGTTTCGGATGACTGTAGTGGTCTGGTTTCCCGAGGCATAATATATTAGGCTAGGGTGGATGTTATGAATTAATCAGAGTAATAACAGGTAGTGTAATAAAGGAGTCGTGATTCAAGAGTGTTGATACAATTGAGGGCCGACGCATTTATAGGCACGAACAGAGCTAGCCGAGAACCACGCGAACAGGTTGGGGCGGTTCGGTTGGCGAAAGCCACGGAAGCGCTGCGCATCTAGGTTTGGGTTCGCGAAATGGTTCCGGACCGAAGAAGTTGGCCGAGCCTGGACTTCCGAGAGTCGAGAGCGTACGCGCTGTAGTGGAGTCCAGTAAGGAAAAGGGAATTTCCTTAACCACCCCCCCTTCCGGGACGAGACTACCCACATCCGGGATACGTCGTCGGTGTAAATAGTCCCGGACGACTTTGTGTTCACCAAGCATTGCTGCGGGAACCCAAAGATCGTCGTCAGTCGTGCGATCGACCCATCGTACAAGGAAATCAACGGCTGCTGTATCTCGATGACTTCGTACGCGATGAGCGAGAATCTTGGATGGCTCGACCGTTGGCTCAGGTACTGGGTTGACCGTAGGATTGATGTGTTGACGGTCGAGATTAGTTGTACTACGTGGAAGACTGATCAACTAATCTCGAATGAATCATAGGAGACTGACGTGGAATGAATCATGAATTCGCTAGTCGGCCGACAGTTGCAGCTGGGCAGTGACTGGTGTCACCATGCGGATGATGCGGAATGGGCCGCAAAATCTTGGTCGTAATTTATTTGGGAGGGGAATTCCCGATTTTCTGGTGTCGAGTAGGACCAATTGCCCAGGGGCAAGCGTTAAGTTTCGGCGTCGTCGCTCAGCTTGCTGCTTAGCCCTCTGGTTGGCTTTGAGGATGGCATCAGCGGCTTCTTGGTAAGGCTGCCAGAGATTTTCGACGAACTGCTGAGATCTTGGTGCCAGGTTTTCTATCGGTGGCGATAGCGGGGTTGTCGGATCTATCCCGTAATTTAGGAAGAACGGGGACTGATTAGTCGTGGTCGATGAGGCGTTGTTGTACGCAAACTCGATCAAGGGAAGGGCGTCTTCCCATTGGGCCGGGTCTATGCACGTCGTGCGAATCAGCTGCTCCATCGTCTGATTGGTGCGCTCAGTCTGGCCGTCCGATTGCGGGTGGTATTCCGTGGATAGATGCAGACGTGTGCGGTACTACTGCCAGGTTTTTGTCCAGAAGTTGGACGTGAACCGTGGGTCACGATCGCTGATGATTGCCGAAGGGATGCCGTGTATATGCACGATGCTCGTGAGGAACAGTTTCGCTGTCTGCTCGGTAGTAATCGTTGTCTTGCAGGCGGCGAAGTGGGCCATCTTGGTCAACTTGTCAACGACGACGAGAATCGCGTCGTCACCGCTTGGACCAGGCAGGCCAGTGACGAAATCCATCGTCACTTGTTGCCAGGGTCGGCTGGGTGGCTCGATTGGCTTCAGCAATCCAGCAGGTCGAAGCCGTGAGGACTTCATGCGTTGACACGTGGCGCAGTAGGTGACGTACTGCTGCACTTCTGTCGGCAAATCGGGCCAGCAATAATTACGGCCCAGTAATTTGGCGGTTTTGTCGATGCCGTAGTGACCCGAGAAATTCGAGTTATGTGCCTCCTAGATCAGTAATTCCCGTCGGGTACGGTAGGCGGGAACCCAAATCCGATTGGTACCGGATTTTAGGTAATAGGGCCCTTGCTTGTCTGTTAGTTGGGGATGACTGTTACCGGTGAAGAATAGGTCAGTACTGTATCCGTGGGTGAATAGGCTAGCTAGTAGTGGATTAGCTTGGGTAATTAGGACTGCGGTGGTGTGGACTGAAGGGCGGGTCAGTGCGTCGGCGATATTGCTAACACCCCGTTTGTAGGTGAATCTGTTGTGCAAGATGGACTCGAGGTAGTCAAGCCAGCGAATCTGTCGGGGATTCAGTGTCGGTTGGGCGCGGATGAACTGTAGCGATTTGTGGTATGTTCGGGCTATTACGTCAGTGCCCGTCAGGTAGCAGTGCCAGACTTTGAAAGCGTGAATAATGGCAAGTAGCTCCTTGTCGTGTACAGTAAAAAAATTCTCTCGGCCGGGTTCAGCTTTCGTGACTCGTAGGCGATGGGTTGGAGGCCTTCGCCAAAATCTTGTAATAGTACTGTGCCAACGGCCAGATCGCTAGCGTTGGTGATGAGCTCGAACGGAGGGTGAGGATCTACAATCTGAAGAACCGGATGTGTAGTCAGGAAAAGTTTGAGTTGTTCGAACGCAGCCTGCTGCTCTCCCCCCCACGCATAAAACTTGCCCTTCTTTAGGAGATCCGTGAGAGGCGAAGTTACTCCTGCCATGTTCGGAATGAAACGACAGACGTAATTGACAAACCCCAGGAAACTCCGAAGTTCGCGGAGATTAACCGATGGCTTCCAGTCTTGGATGGTCGCAATCTTCTTGGGGTCGATTGAACGCCGTCGAGGGAAATTACGTGTCCCAAAAACTCCAGTTCGTGTTTGAGAAACTCACACTTAGAGCCCTTGGTGATGAGTCGGTGCCGCTGCATGAGAGAGAAAACTGCTTTTAAATCCTTCAAATGCTGCTCCCGGGTAGTGCTGTAGATTACTATGTTGTCGAGGTACACGATGACGCATTTATCGAGCAGGGGCTGAAAAAAATTGTTCATGGTTAACTGGAACGTCGAAGGCGCGTTTGTTAAGCCAAAAAACATAACCGTGTACTCGGAACTCCCGTACCAGGTCCGAAACGCCGTCTTGTAGCAGTCAGCTTCGTTCACACGGTAACTGCCTGACAAGTCAACTTTTGAGAAGAATTTGGCTCCGCCGAGTTGGTCGATGAGTTCGTTGGCACGCGGGATAGGATAGCGGGACTTTATGGTAACCCGATTCAAGGCGCGGTAGTCAATACACAATCGTAGACCGCCATATTTCTTCGGGGTGAACAGTATCGGAGCTGCAAACGGTGAAGTGCTGGGGCGAACGAAACCTTTCTCGAGCAGGTAGTCCAGCTGGCGTCTAAGTTCATCCAGCTTGGGCTGAGTTAGCCGCCATTGAGTCCGAACAGTAGGTTGCGCGTCAGGCTCCAACTCGATTTTGTGGTCGTGTTCTTGCTCAGGTGGCTAACCCGCCGGTAGGTCGTCTGGAAAAATGTCGGCGTGTTTCCGAATCACCATCGCCAAGTCATCCGGGACAGCTGCGCAGAGTTTGTCGATGTCGGTCGGCGTGTCGACAACCGTTGATGCGATCCAGCGGACGGCATACAGTTGCGCCCCTCGAATTATGGCTCGCTTTATTGTCACTGCGCTGAACGTCCATGTGGTCGAATCTAAACAGCTCCATTTGATGCGACAATTGCCTGTCCACCAGTCAATGCTCGGGTTGTATTCGCACAGCCAATCGCGTCCCAACAGCATGTCGCAGCCGTCCAAAGTTGTCGCCAGCATCTTCATCGTGAAACTGAAATGCTTGCTACTTGTAGTGCAAATGGCATCATTCTCATTCCACTGGGTTGACCTGAGACATGGAGGGAGATGGCTGTCGGTGGTGTGCAAGAGCTCGAGAATGTTGTGCCAGGGATGGTGCCGACCCGAGGGTCTGTACGTTGCGGGAAGCCGCAACCAGTTGGTCGACGTCACGTGAGACGTACATTTCTTTGGCTGTGTCGCTGCGCCATCGGCCAAGACGTTTGAAGAGCCGGTCC